GATTTTTAAGTCAATTTATTTTATCAGGACATAATTTTTAAAAGTTAAAATGATACGGTGGATTACCGATGTCAGTTTCAGTTCTAAAAAGCTGAGAAACTGACAGGTGGTAAGATTTATTCATATTAATTAACAGCCAATGATCAAATATTTTTTTTCCAGTTTAACAAGCTGTTATGCCGCGAATTTTAATTATATTAATGTTTGTTTTAAGTTATCATTATTCTAGTATTTTTTTTATCTGTACCCACGTGTATTCTAAATCTGGTAAAAGAGTTTTCTCAAGTTGCTAGGGCTTTATTTGGCTCATTATTCTTGAACCTGTAGTGTAACAAAGACAAGAAACGATTGCAAGAGCCACCTGGTTTATGGCCGTTTGCTGACAGTAGAAGCAGTTAGGATGTTGTGTTGTCGCTTTCTTCGCTGATGGCCTTTTTACTAATGGCGTTGAAACGAAAATCATCTTGTTTCGCTTTGTTACAGTTACAATTTGGTTTACTTTAAGACAGTTCACTCCATTTGTTTGAGACGGGAGGCTTTTTAAGAAACTTAAAGCTTTTATTGAATTTGGGTTATAGTTTTTCCCTAGTGGGCTTCACAACTCAACCTATTGTACTAACCCTTTACCATTATACAATTGTTCTTATGATATATGATGAATTTGAGTTAATTTGATTTTTTTTTTAGTTTTGTCCGGCACCATGTGTTGAGTCAAAATTAAAAATCATAAAAACATAAAACCCCTAATTTTCAGCTATTTAACAATAGTCATGAAAGTTTTAAACAACCTTAATTTTCGGATATTTAACAAAGTAAAGGACAGTAAAACGAAATTAAATAATTTATTTTATGACATCAAGCAATTCTGTATATTTTTAATGTTATAAAGGATTTAACCCTCTCACTGCGTAATTTTTTATCAAAATAGGTTCAAAAATTGCATATTTTTTATTACATATTTCATATCTACATATATTTTAGAGTTAAAATATATAGATAATATATAGATATACAGATAATAATATAGAATTAGATCATAGAAAAAGGTTATCAGAATACTTAAATTGAAGAATAATGATATAACAGGAAAATTTTGAAAATTAATATTGGTTAACTTATGATTTATTTTATAAAATACAAAAGTAAAACATATATATATATATATATATACTAATGAAAATATTTGCATAATGTAATATTTTGCACCACTGTCGAACGTTTCCATAGAAACTAAATTTTCAGATTCATCACTATCTGCAGAAAAATCCGAGAAATTCTCATCAATTTAGCTATAACTATCTTCAATATACTTGAAATCAGAACTACGAGTCAGAACTACGATCAGTGTCGGAAATATCGTCAGGAATATAGGTTATATTACTCGCGAAACGCTTCCTGCCAGACATCTTTGAGCTCTGAAAAGCGCGCGCAAAATGCTACATTACGTATTCTTGCATATTTGGCAGAAATGTGGGCAACTAACGCCATCAGTTAGCCCACATCTAAATGAACAATTAAACATCACAGAAAAGCCGAAAGGAAACCTTGAACGGGGAAAGAGCGGGTTGCACAGTTAAATAGACGGCAAAAATTCATCCCCGCGGAAATCGAGGATTGCGCAAATTTTACTACTTTTACGTTGCCCGTGGAAATCGCGGGATGTGCAGCGAGAGGGTTAATAAGGATTTAAATAAAGTTTTCTTAATTGGAACAGTGGACGTTGTGAAGTTTCTTTCAGGCCCATATTAAGACTTTTAGAGGCCTTAAACACTTAAACGATTTGGATACCCACGTACACTCTGTCCCCTAAAAATATATGCACCCAGAAGAAATTAAGCCACAATCACGAAACTCGGCAGGAATGTAGTATGATAAGAGATATGCATATGATTTACATTTCGACGCCAATGGGACAAGGGTAGACTCATTATGCAGGTATTAGATGCGCAGCTGGGAGAGTTTAAACGTATGATTTCGCGTGTCGTAGGGCTATTCAGATGAATTTTTCGACTTGGGCAGACGGTATTGTGATTAGAGATGTACCCAGAAGCAATTCCAAATCAAATAGGGACTGAGACGAAACTCTGAGGCGAAACGAGACCCTGAGACGAAACAGGTGGCAGTACGAACAGTTGTCGAACTTTGAGAAGGGGCATATAAATAGGCCTCAGAGCAGCAGGTTGGTCGACCGCCTGACGATCAGCCGCCACCTCGGTCGAAGCGATATAGTAGTTGCTCGGTGCTAGCGACAATGGATTACGGAAGAGATAGTCTAAGGTAGCGGATGTTCAGGGCGCCACAGGAACAAAAATAAGCGCGAGGATCGTGCAATCATAATAGCGGCCAATTTCGCCCCAACAACGTCGCTAGCATCGATTCGACTCCATTTACCACCTTTCAGGCATTCGATGGCATCAAAGGAAACCATTCAGAGACTACTGGCCGAAGCTGGTACATTAAGACGCCTACCACTGACCCCGCATCATAGGCAGTGTCGACAGATTTTTGTCGAACTCGGGGCAGGCGTGTGATCTTCAGGAAAGAATCTCGATGTCTCAGCGCCAATGACCAACACACACGCGTGTGGGGCCAGCCAGGCCAGCGGTACGATCCAGCATTTGTTGTCCAGCGGCATACGGTGACAAGGTGTGACAGCGTGAGGAGCAATTTGTTGGGATACAGGACCATCTTTATTCGTCCCTCAAGGCACTATGACGGATCGAAGTTACGTGAACGATATTCTAAAGCCGGTTGTACCGCTTTTGCCATCAAGTCGCCCAGGTACTATTTATCAGCAAAACAACGCTCGTCCACATACTGCACGACTCTCCCAACAATTTCTTAAAAGATATGGCGTACCCCTGTAGCCTGTCGGCTCATCAGACCTCTCGCCAATACAGTAGGTTTAGGACATGCTTGAAAGGCAACTGCAGCCGCCCTGAAATATTCGTGAATTAATAACCCAGGTTCCAAAGATTATAGCATGATCTTCCGCAGGAGGTCATAGGTGACCTATTTGATTCGATGCCACGCCGTTTTTCGGCTTGTATAGCTTCTAGAGGTGGCTATACTGCTTACCGATTTGTAGCCTTTTTCATGCCAATAAAACGATCTTTTGTTCTGAAGTTGTAATCATTTGTTTATCTCCTCATACACTACATACATGTTAAGTTTCGTGATAGTAGTTAGTTTCCATCTAGGTACATATATTGTTTTGTGACAAAGTTTACATTTACATCTGTTTTTCCCTTATTCTTTCTTTTTTTTTTTTTTTTTTTTTTTTTTTGTCTTGGGTTAGCTGCATCATAAATGCCACGATAAAATTGGCAATGAGAAACTTCTGTGGGGCTACTTTTGTTTGAGACCCTACGCACGTTTTTGTGGTAGCCGCTGCTTTTGATCCCCTACGCACGTGCTTATTATTTTACTTAATGGTTAATACAGCTCTGGATACAGTGAAGGGATACAGCAGCTACACCAATCTACAGGTAGTATTTAATAGATCGTTTCCTTACATTGTTTTGAGAAAAAAAAATGCATCTGCATTCAGAAACCAAATGAAAGTTTTTCTCTTGTGGTAAATAACTTTTAAACATTTCTAATTGCCCTCTATGTGTTGAGTACATGGCACTAAATAATGGGGTAACTTATGCAAATGGCATGAAAACTATTCATATTACGAATAAGAAAACTAATCTAAGAGCCGCATTGAGGAGCATTTTGTTTTGAACAATCGTACGTTGTATAATGTTCAAAATATGATAGAAAAAGTTATAAAAGAAGTGTGAAAACGAAACGGTTTGGTAATCTTGTTACTATTGGCATTTAAGGCTCTGCCAATCTCGTATCGCCATCTATAATTGGTATTGTGAGCCAATTACTTCTGATAGGTTTCGTTAGATATTTAATGGTTACATTTGACAATAGAGACTCGCGTGAAGTGCGTGTTCTTCTGGCTAATGCTGCCGACTGAGGATGAAATTGCAGACACGCATCATCCCCGGTGAGGACGGTCAGAAGGTCGCCCTACACATTCGGAGTCTCGCAGCAGAAGAGAGCGAAAACCGATTGTCATCGTCAACCTCGCTGTGTCATTGAGCGGTCGCAGTGAAGACTTGAAGCTGAATAAATGTGGAGGCTTGCCTGCACAGTATAATACACCAGTATTTTCATATATCCCCAGAAGAAACAACCAAAGTATGACAAATCCGATCATCGAGTAGACTAGTGTACAGGAACTTCACGTTCAATCCATTGTTGGCTAACTGCAATGTCTAAGGGAGAATTCAAACGGGTATATAGCTAATACAATTATCACAGTCACAGGGCATTAATATTGTTAGCTTCGTTTACATCTGTAGGAACAGGGTTTAAGCGTAGCCGATCAAGGAGGTTAGTGTGAATGCGCAGCTTGCTCAGCGAAATCGCAGACCGGATGTAAATTTGTGTTTGCTTCCCTGTGATTGTTGTTCTTACACAAGACGGTATTGAGTTCAACAGTTTGAACATTTAGCCAAAGCAATGGCCATGAAACAGTGACTATAAAGTAATCTTCTGAGCACCCTTCTACGTTATCCTGTTTACCACATGCACGTCTGCTATGTCTGCACGTCTTCTACGTTATCCTTTTTACCACATGCACGTACAATCCCTTATTCTATTACTTCTGCGTCCATCTATGAAACGAAACTTCTTTCTTCCCTACGAGAATTCTAGGTCTGCATCAACGCCATCTACCGCTATTTTCCATTTAATTCCATAGTATTTCCCAAGCATTTCTGATCCCGCATCGATACGCGATTGCAAGTCGCGTAGATTCGCCCTACTCCCTTTCCAAGTACGCAGTTCCATTTCTGGGATACTCTGAATACACACACACATATAATTTCTTTATGAAATATGGGAAGAAACATAATGAGACATTTGTGACAGAAAATTTAATGTTGAAAAAGGAAGTATATTTATCAAAAATAGAAGAGAAACTGCCACTGCTTACTTACAAATCTTGAAGAGTTGTCGTTCCTATGTGTCTTTGCGTTCCCAAAAGCTGAAACAACAGAAAGTAGATATTAATTACGATATGACAGACTTTAGCTTTAAAATTTAAGACTGTATTTAAGAATTAACCCAAGGAGTTCTAAACATGAAAATAAACAGTCCAAACGAATAACGAAACTCACACGCATACAATTGTGTAAATTTATAAATGTACTTCTATTTCCTAATATACTGAATACCTGCAACAAATTTGTTTGCAGGTGTTCAGTGCTTTACAACTTTTGCTGCTGCTAAAGATTGAAATAAGTATCTTTTTTCCGTTTACGAAAGAAGTAAGAAGAAAAATTTTGCTTTTACACAAACAAATAAGATACGAAAGTACTGTTCAAACAGTTTTGGGGAGGGAGAATGATTGACGGAAAGTATAATTAAATGTAGAGCATATTCATTTAATGCAGGTTTTGAAAGATGTTTGGATTACCTGCGAAGAATATATGGCAGCAAAAAAATGTGTCATCATAATAGCCACAGTTTAATACTTTACTTGAAAGCTTTCATAACTTAAACGGCCCAACAAATTTTGACTTTGGATGTTTGATTACAGAAGGTTTGAAAAACTAGATAAATGATTTTATGGATACAAATGATGACAATACAAGTGTATTAATAATTGATCCCTGGCCTTTTTTTCTTATACCACAAGTCACGAATCTCCTTCTAACGTATCTTAGACAACTTTTGCTCTCTTTCCAGTTTTCTGTTTGCAGTTACATGTGAATACGTTATTTTTACATGTGTGGATAGTGTACTTACTATATCATTATTTTTAAATATTATTTTAAATTTCGTGAGCAGTTGGCCATGATTTGATAGGCCTTTTTTGAAAGTCAGGGATAAAAAAATAACTAGAAATTGCTTTTTTTATTAACACTATTTTGATTAACAAAAAGTTTCACATAGTTGGTAAAATGGGAAAAATCTGAAGCAGAAAAATATTTTTCAGTGAAAAATATGGTATATTATAATATTGAGTGTTTTGTATCTCAGGATTTTGAATCTCCTGTAAACGTTTAATACGAAAATTTTTATTGTATAAAATATATCATATTTATAATTAAGCAGCGATTGAGAATAGGTCTGTCAAAATATTTGCATTGAATTACCTTCCGTTTTAGATTTGCCCATGCCACTTCTAAATCATAAAATCCCCGAATTCTGGTCTTCGGCCAAGAATGTCGTCACATTCACTACACAAAGCCTATTGACAGCTTTCTTCCTTTATCATACGATTTCGAATAAATGACCTGATCCAAAAGCTTCCGCAATAGGCGTTTGTAGCGTTTAAAGCATATAGTCCTCCATATTGAATTCAACTAAATGCTTTTTGGTTTAGTTTGACTAAGAAATATAATTGGCCTTCACATTTGCTAAATAGTCAGTTAATACGTTCAGTGTTTGTATATCTGTTTTTCGTATTCAAATACTTTAAAAAAATGCAAAGTTCTGAATGACCACTTACAATTTCATATCCTAAAAGAGGAGGAATACATACCAGATGGAATGTCACATTTACACGAAATACATTTTTTTATCAAGGAATTTGACTGGAAGCAAAGCTTTAAGTTGTTATTTATGATGCATTAATCCATTAAAAACTGTTCAACGCAAATTTCATTTACAGCAAAATGCATGTTTTTGCATCATTCATCATATTGCTGGTAAAATAATACAGTAAATGAAGTTTATTCTATTTTTGTAAAAAATAATGGAATAGATGCGAGTAATTTCGATGTTCTCCATTTTTGGGTCAAATTATTTAGAATTTCTAAACATTCATAAATTAGACTAGTTAACTGAGTTTAGAACTGAATTAGCTATTCTCGAATTAATTTAGTGTACAACTTAAACGCTAAATCATTTAAATACACTTTTAACTATAAATTAGTTGAATCTTTAACTTCCAAACAAAGATTTCGTAATCGAAAATGCTGCAATTATTGTGAGTGACGGAAATAAATTTGTATCAATATGAGTTAAACTGAGGTCTAAAAACTTATGTATAATCATTATGATCTGATCTTCCTTTTAAACTCTGATTTATTCACATGAATACAGTAAAATAGCAAAGAAGGAAAGTGGTAACGGATTTATGAGAGAGAGAGTTATTTTTATTAGCGGAGAAAATCAGTCAAGATAAAATGCGGCTCAAACACAAATGATAATAAATACGCAAATGATAAGTGAAATAAATTTTACCATTTCAAGGTAGATAGACAAATACTTATGATCTGAAAATAAAAGTCATAGAGAATAAGTTTCATAATTTTTTCAAATACTTCGCTATTTCTGGTTTAAAATTTTAATTTCTTACGAACGGACACCAGCAGAATTATCTGCTATATAAATTCTATGCCTCTCTTTATTGCTTCAGAACCATATCTCGCTATTTCTCTCCATTTAACTAATTTAGTTTAATTAAGAATGGTTTAATAAAAGTTTTAGTTCTCCTAAAAATATTCCTTCTACGTTTTTGTCCTACTAGTCGTTTGTGTGGCTAGCGGTCTCAAATAATAATTCAGAAAATGAAAAATAAGTAATGATTTTAATGAGCCCAGTTAGTGTAATTGAAATATATATTTAATTCTACTGAGATATCTCATAATTTAAACGCATTTCTTTTAAATGAATAATATTAAAAAATAGTCTTAAGAATTGCCTTTATTGCTTCATTATGGCTTGGTTTATTGTTCAATAGCAGACAAATTAAACTTGAAAGATGAAATAATTTCCGTTGTACTGAATAGCAACATGTTGACACGTGGGAGATAACAGTATTTTATTTCATGCAGTGGCAATATATTTCTTTTAAAATATCCGAGTTCGTTGATTAAAAAAAAAAGATGAATATCTTACATTTTCGCGAATGGCAACAGTCTGGCTTGTCGGAGATAAAAAGTGTTTTATTTCGATGTGTTGCCACAGCTAGCATTTAAAGCGCGAAGTTTATTGATCAAAAGTCATTCGAAATTCAAAATTTGGTGACTCTAGATGCAGGCGTTTTCCACCAATTAGAGGAACATACATACTTAACAGATATTTCATTACTTAATAGTACTTATATAGAGATTTTCAAAAAGGCTCACCTTCTAATACAAAATTTGATTGTAGCAGCTGTTCCTTGATGCAATCCATGTCACTCGTGTAACCAGATACCATAGCTAAGTACTGCATCACGCATTTACATGCTTCTGAAAATAAAAATACAAATTAATATATATAAAAAAAATAAAAATAAAAAATCTGAAAGTTTTTAGATTTTATATTACGTCAAAGGGGCTTGGCTTTTTTAACGCTTTGTGTGTTACCTTTATTTTATTAAATATCATGTTCTTCGCACTTAAATCATAAAATTAAATTCATCAGCAATATCACAAACTAATTTAAAAAGAGCATATCTTTAGAATTTTCGCTACACAATCTCGTGCGCTGGAGATAAAAATACTTTTTTTTTTTCGTACTGCGCTGCCATTGCTTGCTTTGAAATTGTTGAGTGTTGAGTGAATTTGTTAGTTTTAGAAAATATCAAATAGATAATAAAACAAATTCGAAATTCCGAATAATGGGCTTCCAGATGCTCATATTCGAGAGCAGAACTACGTTATTCAAAATTTGATGTCTCTGGGTGCCATTGTTTTTCCACAGTGCGAGAAACATTCATATATTCATGCAGACTCATTATTAAATTTATGTAAATATAATACAGGACTGTAATATTTGGTGGCAAAAATTTGAAAAGTGAAACGACGTTTTATAGTGATCAACGCAAAATACCAAAATGAAATTAATAGCCCTTCTGAGCAGTTCAAGTGACTGCTAATAATCCTTATTAGTTTTATATTAAAAACGAGTATTAATATTTATATTATGTTGTTCATCACATACTGCTGTCAAAAAGTTTATTGCTAATCTATAATAAATTTTTCATGCTTAATTTGATGGAGAAATATTTTTCAGAATCATTTTCCAAGTAAAGATTATAAACGGTTTTCCAATAAAAATGATGTGATTTCAAAATGAAATAAAATTAAAACTATTTCAGATACAATCACACATTTTATACTATTTTCGAGTACAATTGTTGGCATTATATTCTGAATAAAATATTATTTAGATATCCACCTCGACGTAGGGTACACGAGCGAATTCGATGGACCCAATTTTTGATGATTGTATGTAATAAATAGCTGGGGCCTAATGTCCCAATTGCAGCTTTCGACTTTTACTTTTAATGCTCCAGAGCTTCATGGTTTATTCGCATCGATCATCAATTTCACAAATCCACAAAATAGTTTAAAAGAGTTTCACAACTTACAGAAGGACAACTATTGGTTACTTTTCATGAAATTAACCTTCCACCACACTGTTTTTGTAATGCATCGATAGTGACGTCAGCACTGTGATATATGGCACCGTCTTGTTGGAACCATATATTCCGCAAATCAGTGTCCTCCAAATTTGGAACAATAGATATGAGCTCCATCTGAGAAGATTTTTTGCCTCAAAGTTTTGGATTATAACCAAACGTTCTTGAAGCTTTGTTTAGCTGTGATGAATTATCAGAGTTAAACACAAATAACAATTAGTGACAATAATTTCAAATACGGTTGCATTTTAGTTTAAAAATCATATCACTCTTATTGGAACATTCTTTATAAGATGGTTAAAGAGAACTGCAGTCTGCTGTTTTACAAAAGCGAGCTTTCGAAGCTGCATTAAAAAAATTAAAACCAAAGAGGATTAAAGATATATTATAATGTAAGTAAGGTATTTTAAGGCATATTATAAAAGTTATAGATTTTTTATTACAAATGTTTTCACTACTTTTCTTTAAAAATGTAATGCTTAAGTTTAATATTTCGTAAATCAAATTGAAAATTCAGCTTAAATTGGTAGCAAATGTTTCTACCTGAGTTCTGAAGATTTAGATCATCAAGAACTAAAATGGAAGTCCAGAGAGGTGAATGCATTTGTTTCTCATAGGGAAGCTGAAATATTTGGCACCAGTCTCCTCAAATCCTGTTTTACGAATTTACCTTAAGTTGTTTTCAGATTTTTCGGTTATACTAGTGACTAATGTTATTTAACCTTACATTGTGGGAACTCGGAAAATCGATATATATATATTTGATATTTTTTATTTTAAAAGATATTTGCTTTTCTAAATTAATAGAAAAAACTTTGATATTTAAAATAAATATGTCACCCAATATAAAATATTTTTATCTCCCACGCGCCAGTATTTTGCCATTTAGAGAAACGTTAGACATTTAATTTCTAAAAACCTTTAATTTGTTTGTCATTGATTGAGAAACTTTACTAGTTAAAATAAATGTGTGGCTAGATATAAAATATTTTTCATCTCCAGCGCACCAGTTTTTTGGAATTTGATGAAATGTAAGACATTTAATTTTTAAAAAACTTTAATCTGCCTGTTAGTGATTAACAAACTAGGCGATTTAAAAGCAATAAACGTAGTCTTTACCTCTGTTATTAACCACTAACTGGAACCGTGAAATTACATTAGCTGAGTTACGTATTTTTTCCTTTTATAGTAAAAAAGTCAGCGGCTAGTTATTTGAAAAGTGAAACGGACTACATCAGTGTTTCGATGCAGACCTGAGGTTTGAGACTAATAGCGCTTGAGGGCTAAAAAAAGGTGTGGCAACGCTAACACTGCATCCGGAATTCTAAAGCTATGCTATTTTTAAAATTATGTGCCTTTCGTATTGAATTTTATGTGCAAAGAAAGTGATGTTAAATAATAAATTAAAAAAGGCAGTAAAATTTAGGAAAGTAGGAATGAGTACAAGAGCATATTTATAAACTACGAGCTTAGGGAGGATAAGAAACTAACAAAACTTCTGGTACGACGTTAAAATCTGAATTTTTTTAGATTTTTTTTTCTACATTATTTTCTTTGTAATAAGTATGATACCAAGATTATCTTCGTGGACTCAAATTAAACAAAGTGCTATGAAATATTTTAAATATTTCAGCGAAAATAGCAATTCAGACTGAGCTTAAACTGATGCATTTGCAGTAATAAATCAGATATTGATGACAATGACGCTATGAGTTCCGCCCCTGCACACATATTTGTTTCTCCTTATCAATTTCAATTGTCCATTTCCTGTTACAGTAATGAGAATAAGTACAAAAACTTTGCGATTTGGCATAATTTATTTTTCTTTGAATGTAATAATCATGTAATATTTATTTATTCTTTTCTTGTGGTTTCTAGGAATTGGCATACAAGGCTCATTAAGATCAAAATGAAAATCACTGATTACATGAACGAATGTTTTTTATGGTCATTTTTGCTCTTTAAATTAGAATATTAAAGTAATTGTAGACGCTGTTTTCAGATATTTTCAGATATGTTCAAGTATGAAATTCAGTTTTTATACCACAGATATTATTTAAAACGAAATTTAATTATATACGTTTGAAATGTCATATTATAATGCTATGAACTTACTAAATGTATCATTCTGCGTATAAGATAAACTTTGTGTTGCAGCTGAAATTATGTGCCCTTGCAAGATAAGATTATTCTGTATTCAGAACTGATTTTTAAAACAATTATTACATCTATGATCACCAATTCCACATTTTGAATTATATTTGATATTTATAAATATGTATTCCATTCAACATTATTATATTATGACGAACATTTTGCAACCAGTTTGTTGCATACTTATAGCTTTTTAGCATAATTTGTTTTATCACTTTCTTTCAGATGCACGAATCTTGTATTTCTAGCTCATCATTTATTATTATATCCTATATTATATAGAGGACGATAACTTCTAAATTGAAGGCGACAGTAAATTCTGCGATTGTATCTGACTGCAGGCTGACGACAGAATCATCTTTTATGTGATGCATAAAACATGACTGCTCAATACCGAAGTATTTAATGTTACTTTGTATGAATCGGATGAGAAAGCGTTGTCATATCGACCGCGCTTCCATAACCTCAAGATGAAATTCGTTTCCATAGATGGCGCCACTCTCAATTTCCACGCAGAATTGTTCTGTAGTAAATAACGATCTCGCTCGATTTACTCCATGCGGTTCGGAAATTTGAAATACAAATGATTTTGAACTGAGCAAGTATTTCAGGCCCATCTTGGAAACTTGACATTACATCATGTCTCCGTGAAATTCGCTCATCCAAAAATTTTGCTTGAGGATTTTTTTTCAAAAATGCAGTAAACATATGCAGACAAAAAATAAAGTATTATTGGGGAAACAAAACAAAAAAAAAAAAAAAAAAAAAACAGTTTATGCCTCATTTGAGGAAACAGGATTTATGAATAGAACGTAAAAAATTTTAGAAAGTAAAATTAATATAAACATTCTGATCTCATCATGTGACACATTTAGTGTTTTGCAGTCCGCAGTTCAGAAATATAAGTGAAATTATAAGAGTGCATTGTACAGAGCAGGCATGTCAAGCTCGCGGACCGCGAGCCGCATGCAGCCGACTCATTGCACTGCGCCTTCAGTTTATCAAGAGAATATAGCAAAAGATATATAATTTTAATATTTTAATAAAAAGTGGATTCTCCCGAATATCAGAAGGTTACAGATTACCTTGGGTTTTAAAATTACTTTTGAGACAAGAGTTCTAAAAGCCTTTATCATCATTATAATAAATAATATTACTATTATTGATAATAATAACTCATATTAATTATCAGTTTCATAAGATGTCATGAACTAATCTAATACCAATTTTCTGCTTATTGGCAGATTTAGAAAGTAAATATCCACGGCTCCTCTGTTATATAGAAGTGTGCACTGGCCATCCTGTTCCCCGGTTCTCAAAAGGTTCTAGAATTTGAGAGAAGAATATTAAAAATATCTAAAATGAGTTCAACATTATTTAAGATAACCTTTCTTACATTTCACCACTGAATACAATTACATTTCCTAACATTTCGTTTTAAAGTTATTGCAGACATCTAAGTTGGTTTTAATTTCCTTTATTAGTTTGATCTTTAAATGTCTAATTAATTGCCTTTTGTTAAACTTTAATTTAAAAGATTATGTAAATTTTGATTTTTAATTTAAATTTTTAATATTAAAGAATGTATCACTTTTGTTTTTACTTTTGAGTTTGAGTTTGAAGTTGAGAGTGTCGGGAAATGCTTCTTCTAAAATGAGGATCCTGTTTAGT